TCCAGCTGCGTGCCTGATTGGACGGTTCCCAGCCAAGCGCTCCTGATTGGATAACACTTAAGTCACCGTCTTTTTAGGCCCTGAGTGACAGAAGATGTGCTCAGATGCTGGCTGGGCTGAATGAAGAAGGTGTGACAGCCTAGGCTGCAGTCTTTTCAGACAGGGCTTCCTCCCTGAGCTGAGCCAGGCTCACCCCAGAGGATATTTGCCCTTAACATTGTGTATCATGTTATATACATTAAAAAATAATACATTATATAGCTATTTATCAATGAACAAAGTATAACAACAATTATTCTAACATTTTAGATTTTATGACCTTTCTGGTTTCTGTTCCTTTGAGCGCGCAATCCTCTGAAATAAAATGTGAGCCACGTTTCAAACGATTCTTCTGCCTCAACCTCTTGAGTAGCTGGGATTACAGATCTCTGAACAGATCTGAAAACATAGAATTTTCTTCTCCTGAGGTCCCAACATCATTTCTTCACTGTCTGATCTCTGAAAGAAAGGTGGGCAACAGGCTGTTCAGGCCCTGCACCCGCTTCACGTCAGAGCTGCACTTCAATGTAGCAGCTGTTGGCCATGTGTGTCTCCTGAGTGCCTGGAATGCAGCTGGTCTGAACTACAATGTGCTAGAAAGACAGAATACAGAGTTATTCTTAGGGTTTTTATAAAAAAATGTATATATACACCATTAATAATTACATGTTACATATTAAAATGACAAGATTTTGAATATATTGGGGTAATTAAGTTGTTACAATCAATTCTACTTGTTTCTTTTTTCATTTAGAGTTTGGCTACTAGAAAATTCAAAATTCACATGTGTGGCTCCCATGTGAACTTTTTCACATGTGAAAGAATGGGGACTCTGATTGTTATACTGGACGGAGCATAGAAAATTAACACCAAGACAAAAGTATGCCAGATTACAGGGTCTTTATTATGCCAGCGACCACAGAGGACTCACGTCTCTCCAACCTGTGGCGTCGAAAGGAGGGTGCCAAGACTTTTTATACCCGAAAAACCACCTTGGGAGTGGGGGTGAGGAGCGGGGATGGGGATGAAAAGGCTTCAGACATTCCGAGGGATAGAGGACATGTTGTCACTTCGATTGTTACCTAAGTGGCTTACAGAAGTTAGTTTACACATTGTCTGGGTAGTGATAGAAGTCACAGATCTTAGTTACTTATTACAAGTCACAGAAGCCAGGATGGAATTAGCCTGGGCTGCTTATTTTAGTTATTACCGGTAAGCAAAGGCCAGCAATTCTGGCAGTTACTGATAAGAAAAGGCAAGCAGCTTTAAATAGTTTGCAGAACAAACTAGCAGTTCTATTTACAGAAGCCAAGGCCAGCAGTTATTGTGAGGAGAATGGGGCAGCCATTGCAACTTATTTTTTTAAAAACAGTTTTGTATTTTATAAAATGGCATTGCTCAGGTTCTGGCTCTAGGCCAGCACATGATGACAGAGCGAGACTTCGTTTAAAAACAAACCAACCACTGCTCACCACCTGTGGCCCACCTTTCTCTCAGAGATCAGACAGTGAACAAATGATAATGGGACCACAGGGGAAGAAAAGTCTATGTCTTCAGATCTGTTCACAGTCCTGACCTGTAATGTTTACATAGAAAGAAAATAGATTACAGGCAAACTGCTTTTGCTATTTGCCATTGATCTTAATACTCAGGCTGTGGTTATCTGTTTTCTCCTGTGCTGTGGGAAATTGAGTGAATATAAGCCCTGATCACATGCGTACGTGTCCACACGTCCACATGTATTTCTGCATTTCTCAGCATTATCTTACCAGACATCTAACTGTATATCGGGAAAAAAATCAGTATTTTTATGGTGCCCAAGGTTATAAGGTTACTAGTAATCAACCTGTCGTTAAATCTTGGCATTCTGTGGGAGGCCGAGGCGGGTGGATCACGAGGTCAAGAGATCGAGACCATCCTGGTCAACATGGTGAAACCCCGTCTCTACTAAAAAAAATACAAAAAATTAGCTGAGCATGGTGGGGCGTGCCTGTAATCCCAGCGACTCAGGAGGCTGAGGCAGGAGAATTGCCTGAACCCAGGAGGCGGAGGTTGCGGTGAGCCGAGATCGTGCCATTGCACTCCAGCCTGGGTAACAAGAGCAAAACTCTGTCTAAAAAAAAAAAAAATCTTGGCATTCTTTTGGCACTGGGTGCATGTATTAGCTATGGCAGCATAACAAACTATCCAAAACAGATTAGCTCATAACTGAAATGCTCAACCATGTAGGCTGGGCTCAGTGGGGCCATTTTTTTTGGTCTTAGCTGAGGTCCTTCAGCCATGTATCATGAGCTGCTCATTAACTAGAAAAGCAGCTGTGCTTCCAGAGGTGAACTTCTGCTTTTGGGGCTGTCAACAGGGGCACTTTGCTTCTCCTCTGCATAGTATCTTATCCTCCAGCTGGCTAAAATAGGCTTTTTCAAAAATATGGGAGCACTCTGAAAGAAAAACAGAAGGAGGCCTCGGTGGTGGCTCACCCCTGTAATCCCAGAACTTGAGTAGGCCAAGTGGGGCCTGGCCCACATAGTAAAACCCCTTCTCTACTAAAAATACAAAAATTAGCTGGGTGTAGTGGCACATACATGTAATCCTAGTTACTCAGGTGGCAGAGGCAGGAGAATTGCTTGAACCCAGGAGACGGAGGTTGCAGCGAGCCAAGATCACACCATTGAAGTGTTCCAGCCTGGGCAACAAGAGCCATATCACCCTCTGTCTTAAAAAAGAAAAAAAGAATTATGCACAGAGAAAGCAAAATGACTTACAGAAAATAGTAGTGAGGTACAGAAACAGCCAGATTCATTATAGTTTAAGATTTGGCTTATTTTAAGCCGGATGAGGAGGCTCACGCCTATAATCCCAGCACTTTGGGAGGCTGAGGTGGGCGGATCACCTGAGGTCAGGAGTTCGAGACCAGCCTGACCAATATGGTGAAACCCCAACTTAAAAAAAAAAAAAAAGATTTGGCTTATTTTAATATGGTTTGAACAGTTGATGGTCTTTTATTGGTAAAAACATAGTGGTTGGTACAAGAATAAGTTACAATCTACTTATATATCAGGTTGGGTTTTAGTTTACCATGTACAGAAAAAACCATTGAACAAAATTAAACATAAAAAGGATCAGCCTGAGGCTATAATTAATTTAATAATATCTCCCTTGTAACTATCTTCTCAATTTTGAGAAATAAAACAAACTTTAGACAATCATATTACTTTGTCACCATCACTAATGTACTTATTTAGTCTCATAATCCACTGTTAAATAGCAGAACTGTGGGTTTTATAAAGTAAAAATATGACATGGTCATTGCCTTATAAACTGCATACCTCGACCATACCTCGGCTTTCCGCCAAAACTGCTTTCTGTAACCCTAATGTGACAGGCAAGCAGTCCAAACCAATGCCATTTTGGCCCCTGTGCCATTTTAAGACTTGTAATAACTAAGGTCCGTAATTTCCACCCTACCCAGACAATATGTAAACTAATGCTAATCTTGACTTCTGAGAACCACTTAAGTAACAATCAGAATGTGCAAAACCCCCTGGCCCTTAGAATGTCCGAGGCCCCTCACCCTCACCCCCGCCCAGGAGGTGGTTTACGGACATAAAAGGTCTTGACACCCTCCTTTCAGGGCCACGGGTTAGAGAGACTGGAGTCTTCTGAGGCCACCGGCAATAAAGACCCTGTAATTTGGCCTAGTCTTTGTCTCAGTGGAGATTCCGAGCTTGCTCTGTTACAACAAAAACAAGGACTTCAGATTATTATTTTTTAAAAGGATTAGAGTAGAGGAGACCTCCTTGTATCGAAATCTCCTGTTCACAAAAGGAAAACAAGACCTGGCCAGTTTTAAAATCCACGTATTTCTTTAAATTTTGAGTTTGACTATATCACATTTAGCATGAATGACTCCATTTGGTTTGGTTTGGTTTGGTGTGTTTGGGCCTACTGAACAAGCTCAGTCCAGAGTGTTGGCCTCCAATAATTTTGTTTAAAAAATTTCCTTCTTTTGCTGGGCATGGTGGTTAACGCCTGTAATCCCAGCACTTTGGGAGGCTGAGGAGGGAGGATCACAAGGTCGGGAGTTGGAGATCAGCCTGAACAACATGGTGAAACCCTGTCTCTATTAAAAATTTTAAAATTAGGCCGGGCACGGTGGCTCAAGCCTGTAATCCCAGCACTTTGGGAGGCCGAGGCGGGTGGATCACGAGGTCAAGAGATCGAGACCATCCTGGTCAACATGGTGAAACCCCGTCTCTACTAAAAATACAAAAAATTAGCTGGGCATGGTGGTGCGTGCCTATAATCCCAGCTACTCAGGAGGCTGAGGCAGGAGAATTGCCTGAACCCAGGAGGCGGAGGTTGGGGTGAGCCGAGATTGCGCCATTGCACTCCAGCCTGGGTAACATGAATGAAACTCCGTCTCCAAAAAAAAAAAAAAAAAAAAAAAAAAAAAATTTGATTTTTTTATAATTTTTTTTTTTTTTAACATTTTTTTTTTTTTTTTTGAGAAAGAGTCTCACTCTGTCTCCCAGGCTGGAGTGCAATGGTGTGATATCGGCTCACTGCAACTTCTGCCTCCTGGGTTCAAGCGATTCTCCTGCCTCAGTGTCCCAAGTAGCCGGGACTACGGGCACACGCCACCACACCCAGATAATTTTTAGCAGAGACAGGGTTTCTCCACGTTGGTCAGGCTAATCTCCAACTCCCGACTTCAGATGATCCGCCGACCTCGGCCACCCAAAGTGCTGGGATTTCGGGCGTGAGCCACCGCGCCCAGCCCCAAAATTTTATGTATTATTAATATGACAACAAAATACTTCTGTTCACCTTTTGAACACATTCAAAAAGAGAGAGTCTTTCTTCACTCAGTCTAGCATCCGATCACATCTTCTGTCACTCAGGGCTTGAGGGGGCAGGGCCTTAAGCATTATCCAATCAGGGACGCTTGGCTGGAAACCGTCCAATCACGCACCCAGCTGGAGCGAACTGAACGGCTTCCGGGCTTGGCGGGCCTTTGTCTCTCGCTGCAGCCGGAGCTTCAGGTTTCGTTTTTACTGCTCTGTCCTCTGCTCCTAGAGGCCCAGCCTCTGTGGGCCTGTGACCTGCAGGTATTGGGAGATCCACAGCTAAGACACTGGGACCCACTGGAAGCCTAGAAATGGTGAGAGTGCTGGGTCGACATCCCGAGAGAGGGGAGGGACTTGTTGGAACCGGTGGGAAGTGGCTGTGGCGGGACACAGGCCTCCCCGCTGTCAGTCCCACAATCTGCTCCCTAAGTTTTCCTTGCCTAACTCAGCCTCAGTTTCCTTCAGCCATAAGATGGCGGCTGCGCTGACAGCCGGTTCCCCGGCGACCTGTCTCTTCCCTGCGCAGTGACTGTGTCCTGACCTGGAGCCCTCTCTGGGCAGCTCTGCACCCGCAGCGCCGCGTCTCTCCCAGTTTGTGCAGGGACCACGGGAGAGTCGTCAGGGGAGAATCCTGACTCGGGGTGCGGGTTTATGAATTTGGTCCCTGGGGTTCACAGTTTCCCTTTTCTCTTATTAAAAATGTATGCCTTGGCTCATGCCTGTAATCCCAGCACTTTGAGAGGTGGAGGCGGGGGCATCACTTGACGTAAGGAGTTGTTAGGACAACGAAGTTTCTCCAAAGACTCGACTTCCTGGTCGTAAATTGTAAAAGTTGTATAAATCATCCCTACCCTTCTTCCCCCTTCTCCTTTTCTCGCAAAATCCCGCGTTTACTCTACTTGGAAAAAGTTTGGGTCTAAGCCAACAGTGATTAGCTTAGATTGTACGGTCTGACCCCAGCCAATAGGGGAAGGACCCTTTACTGGCCGGTGGTGATGGCTCCCGCCTGTAATCCCTGCACTTTGGGAGTCCGAGACGGGTAGATTACCTAAAGTCAGAAGTTTGAGACCAGCCTGGTCAACCAACATGAGGAAACCCTGTCTCTACTAAACATAGAAAAAAAATAGCAGCGAGTGGTGGCAGGCGCCTGTAATCCCTGCTCCTCGAGGGGCTGAGGCAGAAGAATTGCTTGTACCCCGGTAGCAGAGGTTGCAGTGAGCCGGTCGTCCCCTTGCATTCTAGCCTGGGCAAGAGCAAAACTCCGTCTCAAAAAAAAAAAAAAGGAAGCATCTTAAAATTGTCTTCCCTTATGTAAACACTGTGTTTGAGTAAGTTCACTGGATTTTTCAAACACTTAGATTTAAAAACCAAGTAAATAACTCTGACGTGGAAATTAAAGCTTGAACCTAGTGACTCCAAGCTAAGGCTAATAATAAACTTGCAGCTGGAGGTTTTGTGTTTGTTTTGTTTTTTGTTTTTTTGAGGGCGTTTTGCTCTTGTTGCCCAAACTGGAGTGCAGTGGAGCAATCTTGGCTCACTGCAACATCTGCTTGTTCAAGCTGTTCTCCTACTTCAGCTTCTGGAGTAGCTTGGACCACAGACATGCGTCCTCACGTCCAGTTAATTTTGTGTTTTTTTTTTTTTTTTTTTTTTTTGAGACGGAGTTTCCCTCTCGTTACCCAGGCTGGAGTGCAATGGCGCAATCTCGGCTCACCGCCACCTCCGCCTCCTGGGTTCAGGCAATTCTCCTGCCTCAGCCTCCTGAGTAGCTGGGATTACAGGCACGCACCACCATGCCCAGCTAATTTTTTGTATTTTTAGTAGAGACGGGGTTACTCCATGTTGGTCAGGCTGGTCTCGGAACTCCCGACCTGAGGTGATCTGCCCACCTTGGCCTCCCAAAGTGCTGGGATTCCAGGTGAGAGCCACCACACCTGGCCCTAAATGATTTATTTTTATCTCCTATAGTAGTTTGAAATTACTTAAAGGTTGTTTCAAATTGAAAAAATAAAAAGTGGATAAAAATAAAATATAAAAAGTTAAAAAATTGGCCGGGCGCAGTGGCTCAAGCCTGTAATCCCAGCACTTCGGGAGGCCTAGGCGGGTGGATCACGAGGTCAAGAGATCGAGACCATCCTGGTCAACATGGTGAAACCCCGTCTCTACTAAAAATACAAAAAATTAGCTGGGCATGGTGGTGCGTGCCTGTAATCCCAACTACTCAGGAGGCTGAGGCAGGAGAATTGCCTGAACCCAGGAGACGGAGGTTGCGGTGAGCCGAGATTGCGCCATTGCACTCCAGCCTGGGTAACAAGAGTGAAACTCCGTCTCAAAAAAAAAAAAAAAAAAAGTTAAAAAATTATAAGAGATTACAAAATACATATGTAAAAATCTAGAGCGATCAGAAATGACAACTATATTTATAAGGTTTTATTAAAATTAGCTTTAGTATTGATAATACACTATTACCAAAATAAAAGTTGATTTTCTCTTGAGCAAAAATTTTATGTGTTATTTATATGACAGAAAATTCTTCTGTTTCCTTTTTGAATACATTCAAAATGAGAGAGAAAGTAAAACAGAGATGAAATTTTCCCATGCTCTGGGGATGGACCTGGCTCATCTCAGGGAGGCTGTTTGTAAAGGCTGCAGCTTAGGCTGGCTCTCTTACTTTCTCTTTCTCTTTTTCTTCTTTTCTTTTTTATTTTCCCTTCCTTCCTTCCTCCCTCCCTTCTTCCCTCCCTCCCTTCCTTCCTTCCTGTCTTCCTCCTTTCCTTCCTCTCTCTTTCTTCTTTCTTTCTGATGGAGTGCATTGCATAACATTGTTGAAAGGATGTGTTTTCTGTTTGTAAATATTTTCCATGAGAAGAAAGCAAAGAATAATCCTCTGACACTGTATCGTAAAAAAATCTGTGCCTCTTTTTCTTTTTTTTTTTTTTTTTAAAGATGGGGTTTCACCATGTTGGTCAGGCTGGTCTTGAACTCCCGACCTCAGGTGATCCGCCTGCCTTGGCCTCCAAAGTGCTTGGATTACAGGTGTGAGCCACCACGCCCGGCCCTTCTTTTTCTTATATTTAACTTATCGGAATGCTTTTGGGTCAAGATTACCTTTTGGAAACTTTATAGGGTGGTGTGTCCTCAGCCAACCTTCAGTTTTTTTTTCTGATCCTGGGTTTAGTACTTTCTGGGTATAAACCAAGATACCCACCATGGCTATGTCGGCTTTTTTTCTTTTTTTTCACATGGATTCTTGCTTTATGTCGGGCCGCCTCGAACATTTGGCCTCATGATCAGCCTGCCTTGGCCTTCAGAGTGCTGGGATTACAGGCATGAGCCACTGCGCCTAGCCAAATATTAGTTCTTGAGTCATTTTCTCCCATAGGAACACCTGAAGTATGGAGTGTAGCCTCCCAAGGAATCAGGTGGCAGCCTTGGGGCTGAAAGCCATCTCCTGGTGAACTTTTTTTTTTTTTTTTTTTTTTTTTCTGGAAAAGCTTACCCCTTGAGGCATGAAGATTGTCTTCACCCAACCTAGCTTCCATTTTTTGGAGACACATTGCTGGTCAGCCAATCAGATGCTGGTATTGAGGGAAAAACAAATAATTTCTGCCCCTTGTTTTCTCTTTTAGGGAGGCAGAAAAATAGTGAAAAATTTGTGAATAGACACTCCAAAAGACAAAACAAAACAAAAAAAACTGACCCCAGTGAGATGGTCTAAAAACTTACAAAGTAAAATGCACCTGGGGCACTCACTGGGGCATAGTGCAGTGTCTCCTGGGAGGGTGTTTATTGAGCATGTAAGTGAACAGGATGCTGTGGGTGACTGAATCTGTACCTTGAAAAGATTCCTTCACTTATTTTGACCTCAGGTTTTGTTATTGTTGTTTTGTTTTGTTTTTGTGAGACAGTCTCACTCTGTTGCACTCGGCTGGAATGCAGTGGCTTGATCTTGGCTCACTGCAACCTTCATCTCCTGTGTTCAAGAGATTTTCATGCCTCCATCTCCCGAGTAGCTAGGACTACAGGTACTCCCCACTGCACCCAGCTAGTTTTTGTATTTTTAGTAGAGATGGACCAGGCTAATTCCAAACTTCTGGTCTTAAGTAATTTGCCTGCCGTTGCCTCTCAAAGTGCTGGTCCTAAAGACTGAGCCTTTGCGGCCTGAGCCACCGCGCCCGGCATCAGTTTTTTTTAAACTGTAATTTGCATTTTATTAGTAGGGCTTGAAAAGACAGAAAATATTTACAAAGGACATAAAAGAGATGAGCTTTAAAAAGTATTTAATCATATATTCCATTTTAAAAATAATTCTTATTTTCCTTTTTCTTTTCCAGACTTGAGTTTAGAAATTTTCTCAGGTGTGTTTTTTTATAGCTAAGTGATTTCAAACAGAATTCCAAGCCTTAGCTTTAAGAATGCTAGCTACCAAGGAAAAAAATAGGAAAAATCTCTCTTCCATTTTGGCTATAGACAATGAATATATTTCCACAGGAAAATGCCATAGTTAATTTATGAGTTACATAGACTAATCAAAACATTAGTTCTTCCTTTTGCAAGGAAATTTGTGATAATTAGTATCTCGGTTCTATATTCTGTTGTCTTGATTTCTAAAGTTTAATGCTAAATGTTATGTGATGAAATGTGGTATGTTCTAGAAGTGTTCCCATATGTCTAATTTTGTACTACATTATTTTAAATAGAAATAATAATACATATATTGTCTGAAAGAAGTAGATATATTTGCTTTTCTTATGGAGGTATAAAATGCAAGCCCCTTATCCAGGTGCAGTGGCTCACGCCTGTAATTTTAACACTTTGGGAGGCTGAGGTGGGTGGATCACTTGAGGTCAGGAGTTCGAGACCAGCCTGCCCAACATGGTGAATCCCTGTCTCTACTAAAAATACAAAAATCAGTCGGGTGTGGTAGTTCATGCCTGTAGTCCCAGCTACTTGGGAGGCTGAGGTAAGAGAATTGAACCCGGGAGGTAGAGGTTACAGTGAGCTGAGAGCATGTCACTGCACTCCAACCTGGGCAGTAGAATGAGACCCCAACTCAAAAAAAAAAAAGTAAGCACCTTCAAATTTCCTTATCTTATGTAAAACTGTGTTTGAGTAATTTCACTGGATTTTTCAAATACTTGTTTTTAAAAACCAAGTGAATATCTGACATGGAGGAATCTCGTGACTCTTAGCTAAGGCTAATATTAAGCCTGCAACAGGAGGTTATTAAAGTCCCAGTTAGGTGTTTTGGGGGAGCCTCCACTGCAGATATCCCAGCCTGCTCACCCCAGCTGTGAAAGGAGCCTTTATCCTCAGAGAAGCCACAGAGCCCTGGAAAGCTGGGGCCCTACAGGCAGATGCAGTTAAGGTTAAAATGAAAGGAAACTGGGAAGGTCTTCCTCATAATGAAGTTATTATTGTTTTCAGGGACTTTCTAGATTTCTAGATGATGGCAGAAAAAGGCTTTCTTTTGTAGGGAGGAGCAAACAAGATTAGAAACAAAGATGGAGGGGAATAACAATGGAGGGTGAAAATATCAGATTTTATTT